TGCGTTACATTGTTGCGTTACCTTGTTGCGTTACATTGTTGCGTTACATTGTTGCGTTACTTTGTTTTTTTGGCAACTGGGCTGGAAGTAAAGTACTTGAGTATAGTGTTCTTTTCCACCACCAAATATTATGAGGTACCATTCCCGCCATGTTTTTATTCCTACAACCAGTTCCATCAGTTGCCCATACTTTTCACAAATTTAAAGAACAGATTAGAAGATTAAACAGTTGTTATTTTAAACCATGTTATAATTTGAGAGTTGATCAGTGTATTTATACGTGTTTATTTGTTACTGCGCCATCTCATACAGGGAGACCACAAAAAACAAACAAATTAAACCTCATCAACATCATCCTGCATCAGTTTCTACCACGTTTACTGCTGTTCTTTTGACAATTCTGATCAACATATATGTATAATATAATTGAATGTTGTTATTAAATGACAGGTGAGCCACACATTTCGCACACATTATGTGAGAAAGCAGGCACAGAGCAAGCTTAGGTATCCTAAAACGAAAGTAATCACTGACATGTCAAAAATAAGACAATGTGATTGGTTGACATTTAATTCTTTCTCCGAAAGGAATTTAAACTGCTGGGCTTAAGGCAACTCTTTCTATTTCGTTTTCAGGATTTATATTGAGTAAAGACGTAGCATTTGCAAGAGATTATTTATGTCATCTCGCCCCAAAAGCTACACAACTCTAATCCTTGAGCTTTTGTTGTGGCTATAAGCACAGACATATGTTTTGCTAAATGATCGTTAACGTACAATTCAAATATGGAAAATTCAATGTGGTGATATTCAGAGACAGAAAGGTAGCATTTTACCACAGTAACAAGATAACTCTGCCGTGATTGTTCCTCCAGGTGAAGATCAGGAAGAAAGGTGTCGCAGCTTCATCGAGCTGACGCCAGGAGAGACACAAGGTCAGTAACAGAAGACACGGAATATATAACCTGTGTTCCAATTAATATTTATATCACCAAAGCAAAATATCCAGCGCATTCAGTATTCAGGTCCTTCACTTGTAAGTAAAAGTACTAACACCAAACTGTGCCACTACAAGTAAGAGTCCTGCATTCAAAACCTTTAAAAGCATGTATCCACAAAATGTACCTAAAGAATTAAAAGTAAAAGTACTCATTGTTCCCTCTCCGTGTTTTACTATTATCGTTTCTGGATTAATATCACCGCTGCATCTATAAAAAGTTCACTTTTTCCTTGTTTTGTGCTTGGCGATGATGATCCAAGAGCTTTTTTTAAATAGTAAATTATATTTTGACTAAAAAAGTACCACATAAACGTTCAAAATCACTTCTATGGTTTTCACTGAACAGGAAGGGAATGAAAAACTGTATCTTAAATAGTCACTAGAGAAATGTAGTAAAAAGATAAAACGGAAACAATTGCACAATACTTGACAAAATGTAAATGACCAAAACATGTAATCAACAGTAAGACATTTTTTTGTAAATGACTTAGCATCCGATGCCCCTCTTGTTGGCTAGAGTTTCTAAGGAAACATAAATGTATATTTTTTGTCCCCCACAGGTGTCCTCTGGCTTTCAGTCATCAGTGAGTTCACGTACATCGGTCTTCTGGCCATGGGCTTCCTGCTGATGTGTGTGGAAGTGATTTGCCTCTGTGCCAAGAGGGAGATGAACGCCCTCAAGATCAACGCCTTCGCCGCCATGTGCACTGTCCTCTCAGGTGAGGGGGGGGGGGGGGGGTCATGTTATAAACCATCACTTTGTTTTGAGCTAGTTGTTTGAATTATTTATGTTAAGGTAGCCGTTTAATCAAAGCAATGATTAATGCAAAAGGTCCAAACTTGTTCTGGTTGGAACAATCTTATGGACACAGACAAAAAATGTGACTTTCAAGAGTTGCTTTGCTCACCAGATCACTCTATTTCTTCCTCTATTTTCCCCCCAGATGTAAATATTTTTCTCATATTCTTTTCCTCTTTTTTAACTCTGTCTCTGCCTATTTCTTCCTCTACCAGGTTTGATGGGGATGGTAGCACACATGATGTACACCACAGTGTTTCAGATGACCGTGAGCATCGGGCCCAAAGACTGGAGGCCACAGACCTGGGACTACAGCTGGTCTTTTGCGTAAGTTTGTTCCAATTTAACCCCAAAAATTTGACTTCAGGCTTGGTCACAACCAGCTTTCAGAACTGTGAGATTTTGCAGCAAAACAATACATTTTAAAAGTTTTGCTGCAAAAACAAAATTTTATCTCAAATTTTGAGTCCAAAATGGAAGAAGAATCATATCTCTGGTGTGACGGACCTTCAAACAACAAATTGCGTTAGCTTGCAGGTCTGATTGAAGACGTTTAAAATGTTCTTCCAACTCTTTTCTCCCTCACCAGCATGGCGTGGCTGTCCTTCAGCTGCTGCATGGGGGCCGCCGTGGCCACGCTCAACTCCTACACCAAGACCCTCATAGAGATGAAGCATCGGGCCCGGGTGAGGCTGGAGGACGCTCGCGCCGCCGTCTGCGCCCCCTCCTACGAGGAGGTCGTTCGAGCCAGCGGTGGAGGCGTTTACTCCGTCAGTCAGCTGATCCAGCTCGGCGAGCAGGGGGCGCTCATTGACCCTCTGTGGCCCAGAGGAGTGGGACCAGCCGTCGGTCCCCTGGCGTACGGCGCCGGGGGAGTGCTGCTTGTTGGCGGAGGAGGGATTGGAGTTGGAAGGGTGGGAGACGTGGGCATTGGGATGGGAATGGGTGGAGTTGGAGGAGCTGGAGTTGGAATGGGAGGAATGGGAATGGGAGCAGCAGGAGGATCTGGGGGAATGGGAGTACTCGGCTTTGGAGGGAATGGTCTTGGAATGAGAGGAATGGGAATGGGAGCAGCAGGAGGAGCTGGAGGAATGGGAGTGGTCGGCTATGGAGTAAATGGCGTTGGTATGGAAGGAATGGGAGCAGCTGGGGGAATGGGATTGGTCGGCTATGGAGTAAATGGCATTGGTATGGAAGGAATGATGGCAGTGGGAGGAGCTGGGGGAATGGGAGTGGTCGGCTATGGAGTGAATGGCGTTGGTATGGAAGGAATGGGAGGAGCTGGGGGAATGGGAGTGGTCGGCTATGGAGTGAATGGCGTTGGTATGGAAGGAATGGGAGTAGTGGGAGGAGCTAGGGGAATGGGTGGATGCGGAATGGGAGGGCGAAGGCTGGTGGACCCTCATGGCATCATGGTGGTGGAGGGATGCTGCGCTGAAGGGTGTGAAGACTGTGAACGGGAGATGGACGAGATAGATTATGCTCTGCAGGAGGAGAGAGAGGACTCACTCTGCTGAGACTTTGGAGGACCGAGGACTGTGGCAATACCTTGTCAGGAGCGGCTCCATTTGTATTTTAAACAAGACTTCAAAAATATGTATTATTTTATTATTTATTATAATGTGTTTTTGTACATATGAAGTTTCAAATGATAATTGTTGTTTGTCTGGACTGTTTTCAAGTTACACAATTATCATTTCAAGCAGTGTCATTTGATTTTTTTTGGACCACTAGGGGGCAGAAGGACTCCAAAACTGACTCACAGCTCCAATGCTCAGATGGTTTATCCCATTGTTATGGCTAACAAGTAAGCAGAGAATAGCCCACTCACACATCCAGCAGACACGGAGCAACATTATCATACTATCGCAATCCTTTGCTTTTAAGAGGGAGGTTGATGAAGTGGTGACTCTACCATCAAGTCTATGTGCAGCAGTAGAACCACAACAATCAGGGCTTACGGAGGCTAAAAGTTGCAAAAAGGGGTTCATTCTAATTAGCCGGTCACTAGTAACGACCCATTTCTGCTGATAACTTCGCTGCTGATATCTGTTTAACATGCAATAGCACCCTCAAACCCTTGCTGATGTTTTAAAACTCATTTCCTAATTATTATTTTTTTCACTTTTATAGGATGTTTGCCAGCAGTTCGAATGACAGGAAGACCAAAACACAAACATTGTGTAAAATGTTTGAACTATTGCCTCTTTTTAACAACAAAGATTGAATTTCTTTTAAATATGGTAAAGGCAGCAGAAGGCATTAATGTGTGGCCATGTCAATAGAAGGCTACATTCTGTTGAAATACTTGTATCAGTACATTTTGAGTGTTATTTTTTATTTATTTTTATTTTGTCTTAGACTTGCTGCTCTATATGTCTCATATTTTCATGCCATGCAGGGACAATTGTCTTCCAGGATTGTCTCACAAAATAACATTTTGCGACCACCAGATCAGTATAACTCTGCTTGTGTAAATACAGCCTTATGCACAGTGACTTCTTCAGGGATTGAGATGTGTGAGAGGATGTGAGACTGTGTTCAAATGTAGATTTACAAGGTGTTGAGAGATGGTAATGATACAACTGTGTCCATGACTGTGGTAGATGATGTCATTTTTGTTGTTGTGTTTGTTTTTAATCTATGATTTGCATGAATAGATGAAACTCCCCTCCAGTATAAGGTGATAAATTAAATAAAAACCAAGTTGTCTGATGATGTCTCGTCAATACACGGATTCCATGAAATCATAACTTTTATGTTAGTTTATAGATAGTTTTGTTGCAAAAGTGTAAAATACAATTGCAGTAGAACATGACATTTAGGTTAAAACTTTAAATACAGGTCTGTAATTATGAAACATAGGTGTTAGTGCTAAGATGAGGCATTTAGCCTTTTAATTATGTTTAAAGCATATTTTGGGAATCCAGGGTTTGATAATATGTTAATTTCTCATATAGACCATTTCTAGACTCGGATGTCAAGTTAAATCATCACTATGGACCAAAAGAAACTTCTTTGATAATATTTATATATTCATTTAAATATATTTAGTAGGCTTTGTCCACAAGAGAGCAACGTGGTGAACAATTCTTTGTTTACATCTGTTTCACAGCTTTCTGCCCGAGCATTTCAAGACTCTTTACTGCTGAAACAAAAACAAAGAAGTAAAACATTATTAGGACTTATTTTACCTGCAGCATAAATACCTGGTTTAGTGTGTTTATACCCAGTTATTCTGTGTTTTATGTTTGCCTGTATAGAAAGTAATGATAAAAAGTCAATAAAGAAGACGAGATTGCAGCAAACAGAGGGATCTGGACATTAAGACAGATGCTTTCAAATGCTGGGCAGAAGATTATGTCAATAATCTCCCCAGTCAGGGGAACAAGATTGGGAGAGAGAGAGAGAGAGAGAGAGAGAGAGAGAGAGAGAGAGAGAGAG